AGGCTGAGGTGGGAGGATCGCTTGAGCCTGAGAGGTCAAGGCTGCAGTGAGCGGTAATTGGGCCACTGCACTACAGCGTGGGTGGCAGAGCAAGACCCTGTCTCAGAAAAAGGGGAAGGGGGAGAATGAAATATAACAGAAAAATGGGAATTTAATTTTTAAAAAGGGCTGCATTATTAATAATGATCGTTATAACTAACATTTATTGAGCACTTACTAGGAGCTAGGTATGATTACTTTTATCTTTCCCCTAATCTTTAGGACAACCCAGTGAGATAAATATTCTGTTATTCCCATTTCACGGAAAGGAGAGTTGAGGCTTAGCATTTACGTCTGGTTTTCTCAATTTCAGGGCAGGAAAAAAACTAAGTTCTTAAGGAAATGGTTCAGGTTGTGGCTAGTTGAGCATTTGGGTTCACAGTGCTATCACATTATCTTCTCCAAACAGCCTCTGTTATCTAGCAACAGAGCCTCTTGTTACTGAGGCTTCCATCCATGTCTTCTTCCTTTTTCTCTTTCCCCTATGAAGGTTTGCCGAGAAGCACAACTTTGCAAAACCTAATGACAGCCGTGCTCTCCACCTGATGACCAAATGTGCCCAGACCGTGATGGAAGAACTAGAGGATATTGTGATTGCATATGGACAGAGTGATGAGTACAGCTTTGTGTTCAAGCGGAAAACCAATTGGTTTAAAAGAAGAGCCAGGTAATTCCTTGACCTTCTTCCTTTCTTCAGAGTATTTCCTACCAGCATTTGGTTTTCTGTTTATCTTAATCACAGACTTACAGACTATAGATGATGTCTGCAGTATTTGTAACTCCAGAGTGCATGTATATTTCCTATTTAGATTGTTGTACTTCCATCTGATAGCCGAGCATTCTGTATGCCTCTTTATCCGATTCTTACCCCTGCATGTCCCATAGGATTAGTTTCTAGACTGACCTAGCATTGAACATTAAAACTAGAAGCATAGACCATAAAATTGTAATATTAACAATTCATAGGTTGGCTTTAGCCAGTGACAGTCTCTACATGCATTGCATTATTATTTACACTGTTGATTAAGGGGGATCTTAGTATAAAATAGACACAAATCTGATATTTGACTTGGCAATATTTTAAAACTCTGCATGGGAAACAAATCATATAATGAATTGGTTCTTCCTTTCCTTTTCTTTTTCCTTTCCTTCCTTTTCTTTCTTTCAACGTGGGGTCTCCCTGTGTTGCCCAGGCAGGTCTCAAACTCCTGGCCTCAAGCAATCCTCCTGCCTTGGCCTCTCGAAGTGCTAGGATTACAGGCGTCAGCCACCAGACCCAGCCTGAATTGGCATTTTTTAAAAAAACAATGGCTTCCCCCCTTCTATGGCCGAAAACACAAACAGGTCAGGCATGGTGGCTCACACCTGTAATCCCAACACTTTGGGAGGGTGAGGGAGAGGATACTTGAGCCCAGAAGTTTGAGACCAGCCTGGGCAAGATGGTGAAACCCTGTCTCTACAAAAAATGTAAACGCTAGCCAGGCACAGTGGCATGCACCTGTAGTCCCAACTACTCAGGAGGTTGAGGCAGGAGGATCCCTTGAGCCAACGAATTTGAGGCAGCAGTGAGCTATGATCATACCAATGCATCCCAGCCTGGGGGACAGAGAGATACTATCTTTAAAAAAAATTTTTTTTAAATACTTCTTGAATCATAAATTCATATCACATCCTATAGGGAAAAATTTAGTATTAGTAGGGTACTTAATAGAAGTGGAAAGAGAGGCAGGCTGCATTTAAAATACGTAACTGGCCAGGTGTGATGACTCATGCCTGTAATCCCAGCACTTTGGGAGGCCAAAGCGGATGGATCACTTGAGGTCAGGAGTTTGAGACCAACCTGGTCAACATGGTGAAACCCCATCTCTACTAAAAATACAAAAATTAGCTGGGCATGGTGGCTTGCGCCTGTAATCCCAGCTACTTGGAAGTCTGTGGCAGGAGAATCGCTTGAACCTGGGAGGCAGAGGTTGTAGTGGACTGAGATGGTGCCACTGCACTCCAATCTGGGCAACAGAACAAAAAAAAAAAACAAAAAAAAAAAAAAATGGAACCAAGGTATTAAAATGGTGTTTCTTAGCCAAATGCATTTTATTTCCTGGCTTTCTGGGCAGTTTGTGTAATCTCTCTGTGGCACTCACAGGTCTTAGCATGGTATTGAATTAATTCCGTGTATTTTTCCTTTTCTTGCTCCACCCAATGTGCCTTACATTTGCAAGTAAGTTCATGACTCACGTGGCCTCCCAGTTCGCCTCCAGCTATGTGTTTTATTGGCGGAATTACTTTGAGGACCAGCCCCTTCTGTATCCCCCAGGCTTTGATGGAAGAGTCGTGGTGTATCCTAGCAACCAGACCTTAAAGGACTACCTCAGCTGGCGACAAGCAGATTGTGAGTGGCACCAAATAAACACCTGTAGTTAAACCACCGATTCCATGCCTTACAGGTGTTGATCTGATGCAGGATTGGCTCACATATACTTTGTTTTGTATACATTTTGTATAGAATGCAGTATTTAAATATTTTTTCAATTAGTTAAAAGTATTGATAAATTTATCTCTGTTTTTGTTTGTTTGTTTGCTCTTGTTGCCCAAGCTGGAGTGCAATGGCGCAAACTTGGCTCACCACAACCTTCACGTCCCCGGTTCCAGTGATTCTCCTGCCTCAGCCTCCTGAGTAGCTGGGATTATAGGCATGCGCCACCATGCCCAGCTACTTTTTGTATTTTTAGTAGAGACAGGGTTTCTCCATGTTGGTCAGGCTAGTCTTGAACTCCCGTCCTCAGGTGATCCACCTGCCTCAGCCTCCCAAAGTGCTGGTATTACAGGTGTGAGCCACCATACCCAGCCTCCTTATCTTTATTTAAAAAAAAAAAAGTCAGATATAATAACACTGAATCTACATTCTCACATAGTACTGGACAGAGCCTCTGCAGTGGTAGCCACCTTTACACACACACACACACACACACACACGCCAGTGTGCCATAGTCTCTGCCTTTCTCTGTTGCTCCTCTGGGGTCACCCACTGTTTTACACATTTATGTTCATGCCAGCCTCAGTGGGTATTTGAATTGTGACCCCTGCCTTATGTGACTGTGATGATGTTTGTGAGACTTTCACTTGCTTGTTCTGTTTTGGTTTTTCCAGACGAACTGGAAGAGATTGGAATAATATAAATCAAATAACGTCTAAAGTATTCCCAAGATCAACAACAAATTAACAGCTTTGTATAATGTATAACTGAAATGACCAAATAAAACTGTTGTTGGGAGCTGGGCACGGTTGCTCATGCCTGTAATCCCAGCACTTTGGGAGGCTGAGGCGGGCGGATCACCTGAGGTCAGGAGTTCGAGACCAGCCTGACCAATATGGTGAAACCCCGTCTTAAAAAACAAAACAAACAAACAAAAAACTGTTGTTGGGAATGAGGTTTTGTTCCTCCTACTCCTTCCCTCCATGTTCCCTGTGTAAGACTTCCGGCAAGTCACTAGATGTCTCAGATCTCTCTAAAGAGGAGTGAGATGGGGCTCTAGTATTCCTTGAAGAATGAATATTGAATAAAGATTTTATGTATATAAACATTACTATTTTGCTCTCCTTACAGGTCACATCAACAATCTTTATAATACAGTATTCTGGGCACTTATACAACAATCTGGACTAACACCAGTAGAAGCCCAAGGGAGATTACAGGTATAAAGATCTTACTATGTTAATACTTAAAGGGACAGTTTGCTGTAGGCTCTCCCATAACTTTTTTTATGTTAACTTTACGTTTTTTTTTTTTAAGATCCCTTTACAGCTTTGTTTTGAAAGGATATAAAAATCATAATAGGAGCAGCTCTGCTGCCTGCTTGGTCTGTAATCCTGGATGAGTTATTGTTTCTCCCTGTGTCCTCGACTTTGGCTCTGCCTTCCCCTGTGCTAAAACTTGCCTGCAGCTATGTGTGACTGCCATCTTCAGCACTGCCTTTTTTTTTTTAAAACACAGTTTCACTCTGTCGCCCAGGCTGGAGTGCAGTGGCATGATCTCAGCTCACTGCAACCTCTGCCTCCTTTGCTCAAGCGATTCTCGTGCCTCAACCTCCCAAGTAGCTGGGATTATAGGCACATGCCACCAGGTATGGCTAATTTTTGTATTTTTAGTAGAGACAGGGTTTTACCACGTTGGCCAGGCTGGTCTTGAACTCCTGACCTCAGGCAATCTGCCTGCCTTGGCCTCCTAGAGTGCTGGGATTATAGGCGTGAGCCACTGCGTCCGGCCAGCACTGACTTTGTCCATGACACCAGGCCTCTTCCCTCATTCCCATTCCCTGCTGGGCACCTATAGTTTCTTGGGTTTTTGACCCCTGTGTGTGGGAAGAATACATGCTCTGGGGGCCAGATAACTACTCATATCATGCTTCTGTGTAATTTTATCCTCTCTGCCTCAGTTCTTTATAGGTGAAATGTAGAAAATAGCTTCTACCTCATAGGTTTATGGTGAGAATTAAATAGCATGATGCATGTAAAACACAGAATAGTATGAAGCATATTGTAAGTGCTTAGTAAATACTGGTTTTTATTATTAGATAACAGTGCTACTTGTAGGAAGACTAACTGTGAAATGAGGTAATGTGTTGTAACAGTTCTTTTATTTGTATTTTATTTTATTTTATTTTTTTTAGATGGAGTCTCACTCTGTCGCCTAGGCTGGAATGGTGCGGTGGCGTGATCTCGGCTCATTGCAAACTCCACCTCCCGGGTTCGAGCAGTTCTCTGCCTCAGCCTCCTGAGTAGCTGGGATTACAAACACCCACCACCACACCTGGCTAATTTTTGTGTTTTTAGTAGAGACGGGGTTTCGCCATCTTGGCCAGGCTGGTCTTGAACTCCTGTCCTCATGATCCACCTTCTTGGCTTTCCAAAGTGCTGGGATTACAGGCGTGAGCCATCGTGCCTGGCCTATTTGTATGTTATTTTATCTATTTATTTATTTTTTGAGATGGAGTCTCACTATTTTCCCCAGGCTGATCTTGAACTCCTGGGCTTCAGCAATCCTCCCACTCAGCCTCCCAAGTAGCTGGGATTACAGGTGCATGCCACTGTGCCCAGCTGTAACAGTTAATTCAATGCCTGGTACATTATAATTGCTCAGTAAATGGGTGTCATTTTTAATAATACTAATGATAGATATTTATATGTAGCAATAATAGGAATACTGGGGCCACATGTGGTTCATGCCTGTAATCACAGCACTTTGGGGAGGCTAAGGTGGGCAGATCACCTGAATTCAGGAGTTTGAGACCAGCCTGGCCAACATGGTGAGACCCCGTCTCTACAAAAATTAGCCCAGTATGGGGCACATGCCTGTAATCCCAGCTACTCAGGAGGCTGTGGCATGAGAATCGCTTGAACCCAGGAGGTGGAGGTTGCAGTGAGCTGTCACTCCAGCCTGGGTGACAGAGTGAGACTCCATCTCAAAAAAGGGAATACTGGTAGGTATATCCAGTTTTGAAAGAATCAAGTTCAGATTTTAATTATTTGTAGAAGAGTAAGGACAACCTTTTAACCCTGGGCAATTTATGTAACCTTTCTAAGTTTTACTTGACCAAATACATAATATATACTCAGTTAGTATTAATTCCCCCTACTCTATTTCAGTCTTGACTTGTGACGCCATTGTTTGGTACAGGAGAGAATTTTATCTAAATAAGATCATAATTGCTCTTAAGATGAAAATTCACTAGTAACTATAAGATGTTTGATCAAATCCTTCCATTTCTTGATTGTGGAAGTTTAGGTAGCGGATCGAATGGATAGTAGCCTTAGGGGAGAAAGAAGACACGCAGGCCAGGCGCAGTGGTTTACACCTATAATCCTAGCACTTTGGGAGGCCGAGGCGGGCGGATTGCCTGAGCTCAGGAGTTCGAGACCAGCCTGGGCAACACAGTGAAACCCTGTCTCTACTAAAATTCAAAAAATTAGCCGGGCATGGCAGCGTGCACTTGTAGTCCCAGCTACTCAGGAGGCTGAGGCAGGAGAATTGCTTGAACCCAGGAGGCAGAGGTTGCAGTGAGCCAAGATCGCACCACTGCACTCCAGCGTGGGCAGCAGAGTGAGACTCCGTCTCCAAAGAAAAAAAACGACATGCAGAGCTTTTAATATATGTTTTTATTTCCTCAGGGAACTCTTGCAGCAGACAAGAACGAGATTTTGTTTTCTGAATTCAATATAAACTATAATAATGAGCCGCTGATATATAGGAAAGGGACGGTGCTGATATGGCAGAAGGTAATGCCGTTATGTTCAAAGAAAAATGGAAGTCAGGAAAAAAGAGAGCCTGTGCCCATTCCAAGCTGTGTCCTGCCTGCTGCCTGTATGTTGATGCGACTCCAGTTGCTAACGCAAACCAGATCCTTTCCTAAAGGGGATGCCATAGATTCTTCTTATTTTGGATGTGCATTTTTTCAGTCAGTAGTGGTCTGAAATCTCCCATACATAAGTTGAATTACAGAATTTTAGAATTAGTGCCCTTATTTTTCTGTTTTGTAAGCTTCCCTGTATTAAATGAAATCCTTTTAAACAGATATAGTATAGGTATGAGGATTTGTGCATTCATAAAATACTTACAAAGTACTTCCTCTCACACTGGATAATACCATTAAATGGTTTCTCCATCCCATGACAACTATAATATGAGGCACTAAGAGAAGATGTATATGAGGGTTTGTTTTTTCCTAAATGTCATGAGCTTCTCTTGACATTCATACTTACCTTAATATTCTGTAATAAGTGTGTACATTTACCAATATCCTTAATTTCACCAATATTTCCTCTCTGTTGGGCATAATGATTTCTCTAAACTTATTTCCTGCCATGTAAAGTTGTTTTTTTTTTCTGAAATGAATGTTTTCAAGTACCAAGGATTACCCTGAGAGCTAGTCATTCACTGGCAGCTCCAGCTCTTTAGTATTTCAAAACATTTGTTCTTTGGTACAGACTTGGATATCTCTTAATGAAGATGGAAGGTAAGAAATACCTTTAATTATGTAGTTATTGCTAATGAGGAATATGGAATCCTTTCTTTGTTCCTAAGATCTCTTCAGAATATTATAACTCTTGTTTTTCTTTTTTTTTTGAGATGGCATCTTGCTCTGTTACCCAGGCTGGAGTGCAGTGGTGTCATCTTGGCTCACTCCACCTCTGCCTCCTGGGTTCAAGCGATTTCCAGCTAATTTTTGTAGTTTTAGTAGAGGCAAGTTCTCCATATTGGCCAGGCTGGTCTTGAACTCCTGACCTCAAGTGATCTGCACACCTTAGCCTCCCAAAGTGCTGGGATTACAGGCATGAGCTACCATGCCCTGCTAACATAACCTTTTTAAAACTATTTTTAATTATAAAAAACTTCATGCGTAGTGAGATTTTATATATATATATATATATATATACACACACACACACACATGTACATATATATGCACATATATATCTATATATATCTCAAATCTGGCAGTCAGAAGTATTTGAAGATAAAAAGTGAGCTATCCCCACATCTTTCTTTTCTCTCCCAAACCCACTCCTGAGTTAACAATGTCCCTGCTTTGTTTTTACCTGTAGGTGGATGAAGTCATGACAAAAGAAATTAAGCTGCCAACAGAAATGGAAGGAAAAAAGATGTCAGTGACCCGAACCAGGACTAAACCAGTGCCCTTTCACTGCGATATCATTGGGGATGCTTTCTGGAAGGAACATCCAGAGATTCTAGATGAAGACAGCTGACCCTTTGCTCTTCAGTTCTGGTGTACTTAACCATGCAAGCCTTCCCGCCTCCCAGGGCTCCCTGCCTTAGGTGGCCATAGCATCCCTACCACCCAGAACACTGGCATGAATGACACGACTTAAATTGGGAGGGGAACAGGCAAGGAAGGATGGATGGGGGTGGTGGATCTTATTCTGTTTAAGCAGAACACCTTGTTTGCAGTGTGGGAACATGGTTCCTTTGGCAGAAGTGCTTTTTTTTTTTTTAAATCGCAGTACTATTTTTATAAAGCAAGAACTATTTCATGCCTTGCAGAGTGAATCATTTTTAGATTGTGACACATATCTTGTAAAAACCTGTCAGTTCTTTTCACCTGTGAGAGAAGAGGAGCCCAAACTCTCGCCCACCTGTTCTTAACCAGAAAACCCACTGACTTTGAAAGTCTCACTTCTGCTACCCATGTACTTGAATTCATCTTTGCCAGACCTGAAGATAAATATGGGTTAATGCCTGCATGATGCCTCTGGATTCAGGAATTGCAGGGAATACTCAGGGCTTTGTGCCAGTCTCCACGTTGGCAACTTTGGCTGAACAAATGAGGTGTGGTTTCAATGTCCTTGTGTACACATTCTGTGGATTGATTTAATGGAGTTGTCAGCATGATCATCATCTTTTAGCCAGGGGCATAGTTTCTCAGGCCATTTACCTCTTTCTAAGAAGAAACAGAATTACGTGTATATATGAGAGAAAAACAAGAATGAATGAATGAGGTTGGAGAAACATTTACTCCATGTACTCAAGATATTAGTTTTAAAAGTCCCTTTCCTGTTAAACTTCCTGAAAAAGATTCTCAGCCTCTGTATAGTCAGAAAAATGACATGTGAGTTCAAGAGCAGAGGGGTAATTGACACCTGCTGTCAATTAGCAGGTAATGCTTCTGCTCATTGACAGGTAGCAGGTGTCAGAAGAGTCATATGTAGTATTAATAGCTCCACTTTCTGCTGGGCCAGTGGAGATGGGTGAGAAGCAGAGAGCAGCAGGCATTATACGTAGCCAAATTTGGCCTCTGAAAGGGGAAGGTATTGGGAATAGGTGGTGAGAGAACTCATTTTTCTCTTGTCCTGTTTTTATATTTTGGAGGGAAAGAATTATTTGGCCCTATTAAAAATAAAGAGGCCAGGCACGGTGACTCTCGCCTATAATCCCAGCACTTTGGGAGGCTGAGGCAGGCAGATGACCTGAGGTCGGGAGTTCGAGACCAGCCTGACCAACATGGAGGAATCCTGTCTCTACTAAAAGCACAAAAAATTAGCTGGGCATGGTGGGGGTATGCCTGCAATCCTAGCTACTCAGGAGGCTGAGGCAGGAGAATCACTTGAACCTGGTAGCTGGAGGTTGCAGTGAGCTGACATTGCACTATTGCACTCCAGCCTGAGTGACTAACGAAACCGTCTCCCCCCAAAAAAGACATGGCTGGGCATAGTGGCTCACATCTGTAATCCCAGCACTTTGGGAGGCTGAGTTGGGTAGATCACTTGAGGCCAGGAGTTTGAGACCAGCATGGCCAACATGGCAAAACTCCATCTGCACTAAAAATACAAAAATTAGTCTGGTGTGGTGGCACATGCCTGTAATTCCAGCTCCTCAGGAGGCTGAAGCAGGATAATCGCTTGAACCTGGTAGCTGGAGGTTGCAGTGAGCTGAGATCATGCCACCGCACTCCAGACAGCAAAACTCTGTCTAAAAAAAAAAAAGAGAGAGACAGCCCATGTCCCAGTGCCTCGTCTTGCACTGCAGAATTTACAGTCAGGAATAAATGTATTTTTGAAAGGGTGATGGCTGGACTCATCCCTCACTAATTGACACCCCATCTGTCGATGCCATTTTTTCCCTTCCTGTTCTCACTCCACAGAAACAGGAGATACGGCTCTTGTTTGGTAATTGCTAAAATCTCTTTGAGGAAAGAAATAAAGATGTCAACTCCTTTGGTCTTTTTCATTTATTTTTCTTAGACAAATAGACTATATGAAATCTAACTTTCGTGTATATCTCTGGGTAGGCCAGGATACACGTACCCTCATCACAATAGTGGTTCACAAACTTCTGGATGGAAAAAAAACATTACTTGGAATGCTTGTTTAAAATACACATTATTTGGTTCCTCCCAGCCCCCAGGAAGGTTTGAAGCTCAGCAATCTGATTTTTTTTTTTCTTTTGAGATGGAGTGTCACTCTGTTGCCCAGGCCAGAGTGCAGTGGTGTGATCTCGGCCCACTGCAACCTCCGACTCCCAGGTTCAAGTGATTCTCTTGCCTCAGCCTCCTGAGTAACTGGGACTATGCGCAACACCACACCTGGCTAATTTTTGTAGTTTTAGTAGAGACGGGGTTTCACCATATTGGCCAGGCTAGTCTCGAACTCCTGACCTCGGGATACGCCCACCTCAGCCTCCCAGAGTGCTGAGATTACAGGCATAAGCCACCACACCCCGCCAGCAATCTGATTTTTAACCCCAAAGGCTTCCGATGTGTATGGTTGTCAATATACAGCACCTTGGGCAGCAAGGTGCTGTATATTGACTATACTGTGATAGGCTGGGTGGGAAGTAAGACAATGTAGCTCTTGATTAGCAATTTTAATTTGGTAAGTTGACAGCATTTTATATCAAAATACAGACAAGTAGGCATTAGAGCACAAATTTTCAAGAAAACCACCCAGAGAAATCTGCTTTCTGTATGTCTTAAGTGACACTATAAAGGCTATCATTCAGTTTTGTCATATAATGGGATGAGCACTCATTTGAATTGCCCCAGTTCTGCAGCTTTGAGTTGTTTATTTAGGCAGGGGGTTTTGAACAAAGTGATAAGCTGGGTTTAATACCTGTGCCATAAAGAAACCTGTACTGCTACTAATTAGAAGCCACTGCTTGATGGTTTTATCTTTGCTGTAGTATGCATTCCTCCCAAGGTATATTTCACAGTTGTATATTAATTTTCATCTTGCTCTCTAAGGTACTCTCCAGTATTCTCTTGGACTTCCTCTTTTAAGTTTTAAGGAAACTAAAATATACACAAAGCAACTAGTACAGAGAATACTAGTTGATGGCAGTTCGAGAATGTGGTGATGGGCAAGTGATGTGTGGTGGAAACATTTTGGCTCTGCTGGATGAGAAGGTGGTATCTAGGCCTTCAGTGTAAAGTAGACTATCATTTTTAAATCAACCAAAAAATATTTTGCCGAATTAAGGCTACAATGTAACAAGTGGTATGATCAGGTCTTGTGAATTTCCCATGGCTTCCTCCAAGAGCTGGATCCTTGTTTCTTCCAATTGCTTAGCGCAATGCGTAGAAAGTCAGTGATATAATGAATTTTCGTTGATACTAAGGTCTCTCCAGCCTTAGCGGAAATTTGTTTATGCATAGGGTATAGGAAATGGAGGGCTGACACTTACCCAGTATTGGTTGATTCGCATTTGTTATGTGCTCTCTAGGCAGTATCTCTCCATCTTGAGGTCAGTTCTATAAGGTAGGTACTATTTATATCATATTTCAGATGAGAAAGACGCTAAATATGAGCCCAGGTAGGCTATTCCTCACCCCGCCACCATCAGTGGTACTCAGCATGGAAGCAAATTGAGACATTCATTGCCTTTCTCCAGGCCTTTCCTGCCAGCTCAAGCTAGGATGCGATCCCGAGCTCACCCCCGGGGAATCCGGAGTATTAACAAACACCCTGAATGATAATGACACAGACGAGAGGCTGCCGTTGGGGCAGGTCGACAGCGCTAACCTGTCACCTGCGGGCGGAGGCTGTGGAGGCGCGGGCTGGTTGGATCCGCGCGCCACGCCCCCTCGGCCCGGGTGGAACGCGGACAGGTGCTGCCCTCCGGCGGCCGCGTCGGCGCAGTGCGACCACGCGCCGCGGCTGCGCAGTACCGCCCTCTGGCGGCTCCGCTCCTTCTTCCCATCGGCCTCGGCTTGCGGGCCTTTCAAACATGGAGGAGCCGGAGCGGGGGGCGAGGTCGACTCGTGCCGGGAGCCCAGTGCGCCCGCCCAGTCCGCGGCTGGATGTCAGCTCTGACAGCTTCGACCCGCTGCTGGCTCTGTACGCGCCCCGCCTGCCTCCCATACCCTACCCCAATGCCCCCTGCTTCAACAACGTGGCCGAATACGAGAGCTTCCTCAGGACCGGGGTCCGGGGCGGCGGGCGCGGGCGCGGGCGGGCTCGGGGCGCGGCCGCGGGCTCCGGGGTTCCCACCGCTCCCGGGCCCTCGGGCAGGACTCGCCGCCGTCCGGACGCGCCCGCCCCGGACCCCGAGCGCATCCAGCGCCTCCGCCGTCTCATGGTGACCAAAGAGGAAGGGGACGGGGCCGCCGGAGCGGGCCGGAGGGGTCCGGGTCGGAGCAGGAAGGCGCCGCGCAACGTGCTCACGCGAATGCCCTGTGAGTCCGCGGGCTGGGCGGGAAGCGGGGCCGCAGCCGTCCGGAAGCTGGCGGCCGAGGGGCGTCTGCGGGGCGGCGGTGGCCGGGCGCCGGTCTGCACGTATTGGGGAGCGCCTCGGTGAAGATTTGCGGGAATCAGCGACTGTGGGGAGGATCTACTTGAGTAATGTGGGTTATGAGGGCGTGGGGAGGTCGCCTTGAGTAAGGAAGGGGCTGTTGGAGCAACAGAGGGAGAGTGGTAAGGCTGTAGTGGTGATAAGCCGTGGGAAAGGTCTGCAGAGGTAATCGGGACCCATGGACGGGTTACAGAGGTGATGAGCCTCTGGAGAGGGTCTGCAGCATTGATGGAGGAAGAGGACTTGGAGAGGTGGCGGGGGCCTGGAATCGGCTACAGAGTTTGGGGGACATTAAAGGGACGTCTACAGAGGTGATGAGACGTCGTAGAGACCACAGTGAGAGGTAAGGTGGGGCGGAATACCGGAGACGTTGGGGAGAGCACAGCCAATATTAGGGGAAGGAGAGTATTTGGTCAATGGGATTTGAGGATGATCGGTTGGACTGTGGGGAGATCTGTTCAGATAGCACAGGCGCATACTCCCATAACCCCTGTACATTAGTGACAGCTCCTTCTCTAGTGCGATAAGCAGAAGGGCTGCAGGGTCTTGATACATGTATGTTCACATTATTAAGTCACAAGTGCTGAAACGTAGCAGGCACAAAATACCACTAAAACACAGACACTGTTTTATAGTCATTCTGCCTGGATGGGTGCAGGACTGTGTCAGGCTGATGTTACCATATGCGCAGGTTATTTTAAGTTCTAAAGGTGTAAACAGCACAAGGGAATTTCTTGGAGCCTCCTAATACATCCTTAGAGTAAAGCTGTAAACAGCAGAGGCTCTAATGTGTGAGTTAGGTATAAATGGAATAAAAACAGCCTAGAGTTATATCTTTTGTCATCTGGCAAGCAGTTCTGACATCTGCTCTGTGAACACAATGACCTACTTAGCCATTCAAAGCATCTATATCCTGATAATTAAATTGTTACATTATTGAATCACTGTCTTTTGGATGGAGAGGTGTGCTAAGCAAGGGACTGTCTGTTTCATTCCTAGAAATTCGTTTATTAAGAGAAACATCCTGAAACCCTGTGTGCTGCTACGTGTGTCTTTATTGGATATCTTACCATGCCATAGCATGCCTGCCCAAGCTAGGATTTACCCTGGCTTGCTTGCCCGACTGTAACACAAAGACAGTCATGCATGTTCCCAAAATGAGCGCAGTTTGGAGGATCTTAATTTGCCTATGCAATTTGCTGCCATTAGGTAGTTGAAATGCACTCCTAGGCTCATTGCAACGTTTATTTGTTTTACCAGTTATTGCTTTGCTACCAAGATTGTCAAGGGAAAGGAATATTCCTGCGTGTTCCTATGTGGTGGGTGTTTTTAGCTTTCCCTCTAGAGCACTTTACTGTAATGGTATGACAGTGTGTGAAGACCAGCTTTGCCAACTTCTTATGATTAAATATACCCCTGGAATCAAGATCTCAGAGAATGTGCCCTACATACTGAAATTCACCATGGCACTGTAGACAGTTGGGTGTACATGAGAGAAAAGTGATGACGTCACACAGAGTTGATGACCTTCAGAAAGCAAGAAAACAACAGAAACATGGGTGAGGATTGGATTTATTCAGGAAGGAATTCCTTCTTGAGGGTGAAAGGTGGGAGGAGGGTGAGAATCAGAAAACACTATTGGGTACTATGCTCACTACCTGCGTGATAAAATAATTTGTGCACCAAACACCAGTGACACACGATTTACACATGTAATGAACCTTTCATTTACCTCCTGATCCAAAAACAAAAGTTGAAAGGAAAAAAAAAATTAAGTATGTTTTATATGTATGCCACAGTTTTAATTAAAATATAATATGCCTATTCTAAACTCTGATCGGATACAGTTGCTCAGGAATATCAAAATATAGATACTAGTAAGATAATACTGTTGTGGGCATATACAAATGCTTTCCGGAAAAAATGCCTATGCATTTAAGAAAGCATAATCCTTTGCAAAATATTTACATAAAATGTAAGTTACATCAGGCTATAACAGCAAACAGAAGGTTTGTTAGGTCTTATCAATGAAACATAATGAAGAGGAACTACATTTTGTTGCTCACTTTAAAATTATGTATTTCATCAGTTCAGACTCTAGTTGCCCATCCAAGTTCACAGACAGGACAGTGTGGAAGCCTTATGAAAAACACAAGGAGTGCAAAATTAAGTATAATGGTGTTTTAACTGTAAAATATTTCACTTTGTGTCTGTCTCATAGAATCTCTTTGAATTCCCGTGTGAAATAGTCCTGTTCTTTGCCTTTCAGCAATAACATTTTAAAAGTAGCCAGGCTCAGTGGCTCACACCTATAATCCCAGTACTTTGGGAGGCCAAGGTGGGTGGATCACTTGAGGCCAGGAGTTCGAGACCAGCCTAGCCAACATGGTGAAACCCTGTCTCTACTAAAAATAACAAAATTAGTTGAACGTGGCAGCATCCACTTCTAGTTCCAGCGCTGAGGCACGAGAATCCCTTGAACCCTGGAGGTGGAAGCTGCAGTGAACTAAGATCGCACCACTGCACTGCAACCTGGGTCACAGAACAGAACTCTGTCTCAAAAAAAAAAAAAAGAAATAAAAGTATAGGAGGCTGTTGCAATACTCGGAATATTAAAGAAAAAAAAACATAGGAGGAAAGGCTTTCATTATCATTAAGCCTAAGCCATCGTTAACACCACATTTTCTCCTGCTAAAGAACTCAGGCACAAGCTCTACTTGCAAGTGGAACGTAATGGCTTTTTCTCTGTTTTAACATTGAGGTGCCTATAGAGACAGTAAGACAGGACTAAAGAGCATTATCCTCTTTTCCACACAATTCTAGTGCCTCTATTTCTGCTTAGTATCGCAGCACCATGCCTGGCCCACAGTGGTCTGTGGGTTTATAATTATGCTTCAAGTAAGCTTTTTCTAGCTGTATCTTTCACTGTGAAACAAACTGCTGTGTTCAAGCTCACGTCCTGACATTATAAAGCTTTAAGAAAAAGTGTTATAAATATATAACTTTATATATATAATTTGTTTTAGTTAGGGGTGTGTTGGTGTGCAGCATGTGCTGGTGTGAACAAGTGCGTGTGGTCAATCCAAAATGCATGTGACATGCAGGCTTTGGCTCCTAGACCATTCTCTAGGTGAATGGCTTGTTTCCAGTTCCAAATTCAGTTCTCCTGTGGGGAGCCTACACAGTCCTTTTACTCGCACACATCGTGCTGAGAAGGATTTCAAAACAAACCTGATTTATTGGGCCTCTGACATGATATCACGATTGAAAATTTGTTAGAGGCCTGTTGTTGTAGTTTACTTTGATTGCTGAAATAATTTCTCACAATATGGTTTCTTGATGTTTTTATTTTAATAAAGTGATATTATTTGGATAACTTAGATTTTACTACCTGCAAATAAAGAGCAAGAAAATAGGCAGAGTCAAGAACATACGAGCCCTGTATGCAGCAGTAAAACAAACTCTCAAATTTGAACAGCATCTCTGTTATGCAGATGTTGCCAAAAGGGCATGAGTATGACTTACATAAAACCAAGAATAGGGGGACTTATGCTTCAAAAAAGGCCAAGGTTCAGATTCAACCTCGTCACTTTTCTTTTTTTTTTTTTTTTTTTTTTTTGGGACGGAGTTTCGCTCTTGTTACCCAGGCTGGAGTGCAATGGCGCGATCTCGGCTCACTGCAACCTCCGCCTCCTGGGTTCAGGCAATTCTCCTGCCTCAGCCTCCTGAGTAGCTGGGATTACAGGCACGCGCCACCATGCCCAGCTAATTTTTTGTATTTTTAGTAGAGACGGGGTTTCACCGTGTTGACCAGGATGGTCTCGATCTGTTGACCTCGTGATCCACCCGCCTCGGCCTCCCAAAGTGCTGGGATTACAGGCTTGAGCCACCGCGCCTGGCCCCTCGTCACTTTTCTTAGCTCATTGCAGCTATCTCCAGTGCAACTAAGGAACAGTCTCAGATGATGTCTGCACCACACTGCTTGCTCTGTGTGTCTGTGTGTTTAGGCCAGTTTAACATAGCATCACAATAGAGGAGACACCGGTGTGCCTTTGCCTGGTCACTGATTCAAACATTGTGCTTTAAACCTGTCATGGCACCCTTCTATAGAATTGCAACTAAAACTGTTTTCAGAAAAAAGAAAAAATACTTTTCCATTGCAGACTCATAAGGTGATTGTAACAGTTAGTGGTTTCATTTCTCTGGGTCCTTGGTAGGTTATAGAATCTGGGGAGCTGTCTATGCTCTAATGAGCTAATAACTTTGTATATTTGAAGATATATATGTAGATATAGTTTTATCCTTAAAATTTTTTTTTTTTGACTAGGTGGTTGTGAAGGGTAAAGCAACTCCATCTTGAATGTCAGTCCATCATGTTGACTTCTGATTAAACCCAGTTCTGAGAAGGCCTCTAAGATTTCCAATTTATCTGTTGTTCCTTATGTAAGAGCATGTACTGTAAATCCTGTCCTTCTGTCAGAACAACCTTGATGTTCTCTTACTTCAGTTGTCCTACACATCCCTTCTGAATCAGCCTTTCCCATGTAAGCCCTGCATCTGGGGATCATGGCATGGGGATCCACCATCTTGTCTTGCCGCCACCAGAGACACAGACACGGCTTCTATTCATGCATTCCTGTTAAATATTTCTTTCTAAAGAAAACAGGAGTTCCTGTAAGAGGTAAGTTTTAGGCCTTTAAAGAAGGGCATGACTGAGGACAGTTATTTTAAAGTGAGGCTACTATGGTATAATTTACATGTAGCAGGAGAAGGAAGAGTGGAGCTGAAAATAACCTGGATTTGGAAGGACGTGGCAGCAGAGAAGGGGATTCAAAGAGTAACTTTCTCCAAGGATAAGGCATATGCTTTTTTCTGTCATATTTTGTCATAGAAACCTGACTCTCATCCATTTGGAGCTTGCCACAGAGATGGCTGGAAAGAGAATGTGTACTCTCATTTAGTTTGCCGTGGTGGTTTCCTCTAATAGGTAGTGCTAGTGTTGTACTTTTGATCACACAACGATCCAAGGAGTGCAGTGCTCCCTGGAATTACACCTTATTAAATCTCTGGAAGAAAAAATTCAAGATACACATTTGAGAAAGACCAATTGAAAGACCTGAATTTGGCATCTATTTAACTGGCATAAGAGACTATTGTTAAGATACCTGCTTGCCCTTTCTGTTTTAGAGGTGTGGGAAAGAAGTAATGTCCCTGTTTTTCTCCAAGTTAGAAAAAGAATAGTTTTTCCATTCTTTATGTAAACGTACACATCTGTAGGGCGAGGACAGTATATATGTATGTGTAGGAAAGGAAATAATGCAGGCATATGATCAGTTTCTAAGAAATTGAATTATTGGGACTTAGTCCTGAAATCTACAAGTTAACTATCTTAACCTCATTTTATGAATGAGGAAATTTGGAGCTTAAAGAAAAATTTATTCACCAGGGTCACAAAACTAGTTATAATGACCTGAAAGTTGTTTACGGTATTTGATTTAATATGTCTTATAACACATATGCAGATATTTGTATGTGTGTGTGTGCGTGCACGCGCACACACACACACACACACACACACACCCTTAGCTAGCAAATGTACAAAGGACTTTAAAATACTGCTAGAAAAGAGGTAAATGGGCCGGGCGCAGTGGCTCAAGCCTGTAATCCCAGCAATTTGGGAGGCCGAGGTGGGTGGATCACGAGGTCAAGAGATCGAGACCATCCTGGTCAACATGGTGAAACCCCGTCTCTACTAAAAATACAAAAAA